TAAGCCTTTAGCAAGAGAGTTTAGGTCTAAAAAGAATCCACCTTTTGGGGTGCCTGGGTGGCTCAGTCAGTTAAGCGTCCGACTTTGGCTCAGGTCATGATCTCACGGTTCCTGAGTTCAAGCCCCGCATTGGACTCTGTTGTAACAGTTCAGAGCCTGGAGCCTACTTTGGATTCTGTGTTCCCCTCTCTCACTCTGCCCCTTCCCCCCACCAAAAGTAAAATAAACATTTAAAAAATTAAAAAAAACAACAAAGCTACCAGAAAGATGTTTGGGAAATGTCAGCAAACATTGAGCCATCTCAACCTCAATCCACTTCTCCTTAGGTGTCATGATTCCCCAGAAGGACATCCCTTTCCTCCTGTACCTCCAACCTAGTGAGACGAGCCTCCGCTATGAGATATTGCACTGCCCCTTAGGCCTCAAAGACAAGTCACAAATGGCAACATTGAACACTGCCTGACCCAATATTTATATGGGGGCTTTCTCTGTCTCGCCATCCAGGGATAATTGGTGTCTAGCATACAGAGGGACTAAATGCCCCGTGGGGAATGAATCAGTGGCAATCCTGTGGACTGTGGCATACAGACCCATCTGTTCCACTACCTGTTCTGTATCTACAAGTTATATTATAATAGTAACGACGTATAGATTGCAGTCCATATGTCAGGCTCTGGGCTAAGAGGCAAATACTTCTCTTGTCCCCATGTTATGTCTCAGGAGGCAGCCTTGGAGGAATTAAGAGACTTGTCCAAAGCCTTTGATCTAGAAGAGTTCTAATCTGGGATCCAACCCCAGGCTTTGGTGCCAGACTTTTCACCCTGAGGCCACATTGCCTCCCAGAGGGCCCTATCCACCAGAGGCCTGGACGGACTCTTGGGACAGGACTGGACCGAACAGCCTCGGTTCCACACCAGCAGAACAGGTAATGTTCTACCTTCACAGCTCCAGGAATTACCAGTGACGTGCTCTGTGCTTGGTGAAGGGACAGATGTTTAATAACTTTGCAGTAGCAAGGAGGAGGTTACATAACATGGCTGAGCTATTTTTGAACTTTATAAAATGCTGACTGCTCTTTTCAAAGTGCCTTCTGTAAAACCAGGAATATTAAACATAAAGAACATTTTCCCCTTTCCCCCACCTTTTTTGCCCCCTGAAATCCCAGGGACAGAAACAGGTCCACGGCAAGATCATTAACACATCATCCTGAGCAAGCAGTCTTTTCTACCAGGTCGCACGTCATAAGAAGTCATGGTTACAGTGCCCTAATGACACAAGCTCTGGGTAGGAGATTACAAGTCACGTCCCTGAAGACCACACAGGGACATGTGTAACTGGTTCCAAGATGGCACACTCAAGCAGTCGAAGAGGGACCCCAGATCCCCACATCAATGTAGCAAGACAGCCATCCATGTGAGTTTATCCGAACTTCTTCCAAGGTATTTGCATCCTCCTGACTACGTGGTGGGAGTAATGACACCTACTTGGTGACTGGATGCTTTGTGGAACCCTGAACTGGAGAGTCCTGGGATTCCAACTCGACTACAGACACTGAGGATCCCTTACTTTACCAACCTAAATGTCCATCCGAGGGGGATGGTTAAACAAACAATGCGATAGTTACATGCACAACAGAATGCAAGACAGCACCTAAGATGAATATGCTAGAAGGACACGGGTCCTCATAGATGGATCTTGAACCACAAGGTTGACGTAAAGGAAATTGGAATGTATCAAACACCACTCATGTGCATTTGAAAGAACTGTGCCTTGGGTCTGAGGTTGCAGAGACGTCTGTACTAAAAGTAAAAACATGCACACAGATCTGGATTCCCACCAAGTTCATGGCAGTGTTTTTCCCTCCCAGGGAGAGAAAAGGAAGAAAGTGGGACTCGGGAGAGGTATATCAGGACTGCTACGTGGTCGGTAATGCGTATTTCTTTTAAAAATTTGAAACCAATGTGACATATTGGGGTGGGTGTTTCATCAGACTCTGTACTAGCTTTTTGTTCTTCCCTCATATTTTTAAAAAAGCCCTTGTTACCTGAGTCTGTCGCAATGCAAACCTCCTTCTTCAGCACACTGTACGTCCTTTGAGGACGGAAGTTATGTCTTCATTCCTGTGTGTATTTTGGGGGCTAGCATGGGTTCCACTGGAAGGAAGGAATGGCTGATAGAGGAGAAGAGAATGGTGTCCTTAATGCGTTTCTGAAAAACTGCCATTTGGGGGCTTTCTCCAGCCCCCAGCCCTTCCCTTGCCTGGCAAACTGCTCCTCTGGCCTGGATGAGTTTAAGAAACACCGTGACAGTGGGCAAGTATAGTAAGAAGCCACCGCTTGCACCACATTCCAGCCTCGCACACAGGGCGAGCATCGCCAGCGGTCCACGGAAGGAGAGAGGTTTCGTTAAACACCAGGCAGTGGATGACGGCTTCCCACACTTGATCCATTACTACTCTGGGGCTGAAGCGCCATCTACAAAAATCGCTGCATTCAAAACATAACTCCTAGAAACAGCATGACAGCATTTCACAGCAGTGGGGTTTCTCTTGTTTTTGTTTTTTTTTTTTAGGAACAGGATTCAGGACGGTCACTCGAAGGAGCTCTGTATGTCTTGACAATTATCCTTCTCCAATTCCTTTTCCTGTATACATTATATTTCAATTGCCCTAAAATTGAGTTATGTTGTCATCAAAATTATACATTTCTGAATATTCCAGCTGCAGGGCATTTTTGATGGGAAGTGAGTACTCATTAGCCCAGCCCTCGTGTTTGCGCTGGCAGAAATCCTGCCTCTGTAAGAGGCTTCCAGGCCTCATACTCATTTCCCGGAGTTCCCTCCTGATCTTTAGGCAATTCTTCAAAACGCTCAAAGCGGTAATGGAGAAACAGGATGGCTAAAGAGAGAATCCGAGGAGAAGGGGAAATTCTGAAGGACCACAATTTCTTAATTCAAGAGTTTATTTTCCATGTGTATACCAATTTAATTTTTTTTAAATTTTTTTAATGTTTTTATTTTTTTGAGACAGAGAGAGACAGAGCATGAGCAGGGGAGGGGCAGAGAGAGGGAGACACAGAGTCTGAAGCAGGCTCCAGGCTCTGAGCTGTCAGCACAGAGCCCAACGCGGGGCTCGAACTCACAGACTGTGAGATCATGCCCTGAACCGAAGTCGGATGCTTAACCGACTGAGCCACCCCGGCGCCCCTGTGTATACCAATTTTAAAGATGTATAATCTTCCCACATGTGCACACCTCTGGACTCAGAGATAATCCCTGCACTGTAGCAGATTCAAGGTCCTAAAAACTCCCAGAGTCACTTTGGAGTGACGTGTTACTCTGCTGGTAATAAACCTACCTAGTCTGCCTACTGTCATTTCTAATGACCAAAAACAACGTCACTGGTCATTCTGACAGGTAGTCAATAATCACTGGGGGCCAGGCACGGCGCTAAGCAGTACTTTTCACGCATCGCCTCATTTCATACTCAGGACAATCCATGGAACATTGGTTCTCAGTGCATGGTCCCCAGACCAGCAATATCAGCAGCACCGAGGAACCTGCTACAATTGCAAATTCTGTCCCCGCGTCTCCCGTGGCCCCCGGAGCTACTGAATTACAGACTGAGTGTGGAGCCCCAAAATCTGTGGTTTAACAAGCCCTCCTGGTGATTCGGATGCACACTCAAATTTGACGAGCACCCCCTAGGAAGCAATGCTACCATCACCACTTGGCAATGAACAACTGAGGCGCGGAAAGGTAAAATGGTTATCCGAGGCAAACAGAAAGTGAGCCAGACAAGATTTGAACCCTGATAAATCGAGGCCTGGAGGCCAGGCCCTTAACCACAGAACTACACCACGCATTACGTACAGAAGGAGCGTGGATTAAATCACCGGACGTCAGGCAAAAGCATGCAAAATGGGTGCAGGGGTGATTATTCTAAATGTCAACAGCCAAGCCATAATGATGGGTCACAAGGAACAATGACACTCCTGAGAAACACCGAACTTAAACGTCCACCAAGATGCGAGTGGTTGAATACATTAGGATACGTCCATGTGATGGACACAAGAAGGGAAGAAATTCAGACACAGACTCAAACTGAGGATGGAACACCCAGCGTGGGCAGTTTTCCCAAACTGTGACATGTTGGTGGGGACGTGGGAAGCCTGGTGACTTCACAAACTGCTTGCGTGGATATAAATTGGTAGAGTTACTTTGTGGGACAAATTGGCAACAGACACTTCAATTTTTAAATGCGTGTGCTCTGTGACCCCGGAGTTCTACTTCTGAGAATCCGCCCTGGAGAAACCCTGACACATGTGCACAGAGACATGTGGGAGGGTGATCCCTGTGGTTTAGTTTGTGACGGAAAAAGAAAAATCAGAAACAACCTGAATTTCTATCATTATGGAGACTGGATAAACAAACCATGGTATATCTCTATGGAGAGAGGTAATGTGCACAGGTTTGAAAGAATACACACACACACCCATACGTATGTATATTGACAGCCACATATGTATCTGCATACATTCATACATATGTATGTGTGTATATATATACATCTTTGTACATATATTCATATATGTGTATATATCTATATATAAAAATATATGCATATGTACACACACATGCACGCTGGAGATACGGTTATAGATAGAAAATGGATACATCGAGAGATACGTAGATAGATACGGAGACAGGTCTTGTATGTAGGTTTCCAAGGTGTATCATTGAGTAAAAACAGAAGGTTGCAGAGAACGAAGCATGATGGAACTTAAAAACCAAAGATGAGCCGGGGGGTGAGGGGAGGAGAGACTAAGATCAATGGAACAAAGCAAGTCCCGTAAGCGCACGCACAACACTCCCTACCGTCAGCGCACATTTCCAGCAGCAAGTACGTATGTGTTGCTCTGAGTATTTCAACAACCAAAGAAGCAAACAAACAACAAAACACTGGTCCCATTCTGGGACACAAGCAAAGACGGCCCTCTTACTGGTGCAGGGTGTGTGGTGGGGCCTCCGGCTTCTCTGTCTGCCCGTAGCAGCTGGCCTTGGCCTCAGGGATATAGGAGAACTTCTCCAACATGGAATACGCGGCAGTGGTTAGGATGCCCAGGCCGTCCCTCACTCGCGCCTCCAGGCTGTAGTCCCAGTCGTCGTAGGAGACTGAAATGAGTCCTGATGGAAACTCTTTGGGGATGAGCTCCGTGTTCCCAGAAACCAAGCTGGGGACAATCCAGAAGAAATCATATCCAGTGAGGCCCAGGGAGCGGGCCTCACTCAGGATGAGGACGGCCTCATCTTTGGAACAGTAGAGCAGGATGACGGAAGAGTGGATCTTCTTCAACTGGACTTGCGTCTTTGCGTCCTCGAAGGAAGTGTCCAGGGTGATCACGTTCTGCATGTCCCAGCCCACAAAGCTGTTGTCCACTGTGGTCTTGATGAAGCTGATAAAGTCCCTGTAGCCAGGGAAGATGGTGGTCACCAAGGAGAAGACATGCCAGTCGTAATCCTGCATGATCTTCAGCATGACCGTGGCTTGTTGCTGGATGGACGCTCCAAATTGGAAGAAGGTTGACGTCGGATCCTGCCAACAGGTTAAAAAAAAAAAAAGAAAGAAAGAAAGAAAGAAAGAAAAAGAAAAAGCAAAACAGAGGATGAGGCAGAAGGTGGTTTATATATAACCATCTGTCTTTATAGGCTTTAAAAATGCCTTCTTAGAAGGGAGGGAAAACATATCACACACGTATTCATCCCCAAACATTCTTGAGCACCTACTATATGCCACACTTGGGAACAGATGCCGGGAATACACTGAGGAGAGAGACCCTGAACTTGGGAGCCCACAGTCTGGTGCCTGAAGGACATCTGTTATTTGTTCCAGCTCATTTTCCTCTAGTTCATTCCACAACCTGCCCCCCACCCCCACCTTTGGGCCCACGTGGCTTCAACACAATGAACTCTATCTGGCCCCAGGCTCTGGACTGGAAAATGAATTCAGGGGAGACAATATCAGGACACAGAGACACAGTCCTGATGACATACTTGGAGCACCTGGAGTCTGCTATGCCTAAAGACTTTCACTCTAGACCTGTTGGCTGTGTGAACCAACAAGTCCCCAAGTTCACCTGAGCCACTTTGAGTAGGATTTCTGTCATGTGGACTCTAGACTCCTGTGTAATATAAAGTATAATAAATGCTAGGTGGACATCTATCTGGATGTCTATGTGAAGCAGCAAGTATCTGTTGAACACTTACCTAACTATGCAGCAACACCATTTTAGAACTTGGGGAAACAATGATATATAAGACAGACAAAGACAGGGTCTCTGCCTTTGTACATGTGGCGGGAATTTGAGGAAGAACAATTTCCAGGGACTAGAGGCTGAGAGAGGCACAAGGAGATGCCGAAGGAGTATCGGGGTGAAGAAGAGGGGAAATGAGTGGACATTAGAGTCAGCGGAGACCTGCAGATACACCTTGGCTCTTCTAAGAGCTGGAGATAAATCATTATGGCTCATGACATAGGAGGGAGATGAGATGATGGTGAAAAGGCTTGGCAGAAATCCCATCATGTGTGGCTTCAGGGATATGTTCAGAGGCTGAGACCGTATTCAAGCATAAGAGGGAGCTGCTGGATGCTCTTACTCTGGACAGTGACATGGCCATTTGTGTTGGGTTAAAGGGCCCCTTAATAGTCCTGGCATCTCCCCAAGTCATGATCTGATCATGAGAACATACTTCCATTTAGAAAAGGCAGGCGATGCCTACGGTTATGTCATTTACAAACCACCTTCATGCCTCTTAACTCGTTAAATCCCCCACGAGATCCTAGAAGGTGGTGTTATTGGCAGGGGAAAATGAGGCTCAAAATGAACTCAGGTTCTGGTTCCACGGCCAGCCCCCTTCCCAAAACACAGCCACGACTTTCTTGGGATCATTGAAGATCTACAGATAGCAGATGCTGAAACCATGCTGTTGACTGGCTGGCCTGGCACAAAGATGCCAGCTAAACAGAAGGTATGCCTGTGTGTTACAGCAAAACATAATTTGACAAGTGCTGAGATAGATTCCTCCCCCTCCCCCACCCCAGGGAACTAAAAGGATTCTCAAGGGGTCCTTATTATACTGCAGCCATGTTTTCATTCTCCATTCTATAGTTACCATACGCATTAACCTCAAAACTATGAATACAGGGGTTCCAGTGCACGCGTGTGTGTGTGTGTGTGTGTGTGTGTGTGTGTGTGTGTGTGTGTGTGCATGTGTGAGTGTATTAAGAGGGATGATTCCGTTCGTCTTTCCAAACAATATCTTGTAGCTGTGCATGGCACTCCTTTAAGAAGTCTGCAGAGTTTTCCCCCTGGGTGCCCACAGAATAGAAAGTTTTATCTGAACGGGCCAAAAGCTACATAGTTCTTCGAAATACTTCGCTTTTCTAAAATGCATGAGTTTGGGGGATAATTCAAGTGCAATGTGGCCTGAAGGCAGAGAGAAAAAACACAGGAATAAATGCCTCTGGGCTCCTTCTAACAATACAGTTTTATGAATTTTACCTCATTAAATCAATTAAAGTGGGTAACAGATTTAAAGACTTTGGATAATTATCTTTTTCCCTACAGTAGCTTTTGGAGAAATCCAGTGTTCGTGGATTGATTAAACGTCTTAAATTGTGCTTCGACAAGACTGAATGGCTCAAGGGCAGAGATTCTGCTGTGTCCTCATCTCTCTGTCCCCCAGCACCCAGTGGAAGACTTGGCACATGACCCATCAGTAAATGGAGGATGAAGGAATGCATGAGTAGATGACGGTGTGAATGGAGTCTAAGAGGAATGTCCTTGGTTTAAACATAATGCCAGGCAGGAGAAGTCCACGTCGGAGCTTTTGCATTTTTTTACTCTTCAATGTCACGCCCAGAAATTAAAATCTTTCAACACCACCAACCTACTACTCCTCCATCCAATGTCTGAAATTAGTGGAGGGTGACCTTCATTGATCAGAAGAGGAATCGAGAAGACCTACAAGGCTCAACAGCTGTCCAGGGAACCTCATTAAATATCAAAGACAGCGACAACATAAAGAACCAAAAGAAGACACACAAGTGAAGTCCCAAGGCAGTTATAGCCACCAAACTTAGCACTGCCAAGTGTTTCCTGGGAGGGGACTGCGAAGTCCCAAACTTAATTACAAAGGGTATGTAATAATTCCCATGGAACCAAGATGTTCCAAGGACGCTGGTCAGCAGGGTTACACTATGACTGCACAAGGCAGTGAGATCAGCACCTTCCTGCGAGCACACGAGGAATGGAGAAAGATCTCAGGAGGGCATATGCTAAGAGCATGGCTGAAACCCAGTAAAAAGGATCTCTGAGACGATCCGTATGTACACACACACTTCCTAGGGATAACCGGTACTGGTGGAGAGGTGGAGATCGAACCTGCTAGGGGAGTGCTGGTGGTGTTGGGGTTGCACCAGCACCCCTGCTCCGTGTGCTGTGAGCAAATGCAGCCTCATCTGGCTCTCCATGTAGAGAGGAGGGTATGGCTGCCTTGTGAACTTCATGAAAGAGAGAGATTATAGGACAGCAGTCCATTAGCCGGGAGCTCGCCTGGCATAGCCGTCTGTGTAAAAATACGTGCGGGTTCCTTTGCCTGTGGCGTCCCCAGTCCCTGGTCCTGTGGTGTTTTAGTCCAAGCTGAATCTCTCCTGTTACCCTCTTCTGATCCCCATTAACATCTTCAACCCAGGACGGAAAACAGTCTAACTTCCGGAGTCACGCTGTCCAGGCACCAATTCTAATTGTAACCTTGGGAAAAATCACTTCACCTTTCCAAGCCTCAGTTTCCACATCTGTATAATGGGTGTGGTAATGCCAATAATTATACCACTTAACGTGCCAGAAGGACTTAGCCTATGAGAGTCACGTGGCTCAACACTTTCAATGCAGTATCTCCTTTAATCCTAGCCCCAACCACCTTCCTAAACTGGTAATGGTATTGTGCCCATCATACAAACGAAGAAAGACTCAGAAGTAGAGGGAGTCCTGCAGGGTCATACAGGCATTGAATCGGGCTTGCCTGCTTTGGGTGCAAGCTTTTCACCCCTGCACCACACTGTTGGTGACAACAGCACTTCCCCATTGAGCTGCAAGGATTAAATGACCTCCTTGTATAAAAGCTTCCAGCGCAATAGCCATCACATGTCAAGTGCTCAACAAATAGATGTCACTGTTATTCTCCCCGTGGGTCAAGACTCTTGGTATTTCACATCAGGGGCTTATGCTACCCACTTCCCACTCTGGACTTGGACATCCCAACAATTCACCGCATTCATGACTGCCTGATTGAAATTCCTAAACGCTGCTTTAATCGTGCCACTTGTCTCCTCTATGGTCATCAATGGCTCCCCTAGACCCTTCATCACATTAAGTACAGACCCTCCAGCCTACCCCTTTATGCACAACAGTCAAACTCTATAGCTGAAATAGTATGGGCCCCCGGGTTTGCTGGACTTGAATTCAAGTCTCAGCTCTGCGTTAACCAACCGTGTGACCGTGGGTAGATTCTGAAACTCTCTGCATCCGAGTTTCTCTGCCTATAAAGTGGGTAGAATAAGCACCGTCCCAGGGTGGGGTTGGGGGCTGCCATGAAGAATGAAAAAGGGCTGAACTGGCAGGCTGACAGACTCATCTATGGCTGCCCCCAATAGGCTGGGGACTCCTCTCCATCGTCCTCATTCCTCTAGACAACATGGACTGTGCCAGAGACCTAAGGGGACCTGATCCTATTTCAGAAACTGGTGTGTCCGGATCTACTGACATGCTGGTTTCACATTGCCCCTCCCCTCCGCAAACCAGCCCACTCATTCTGAGCCCAAGGAGGCTGCATGAAGAGAAGGAACTGTCTTTCCTCACGGTGATGAATCATGCTTTGGAGAGAAACCATCACTCATGTCCTTCATAGACCTCCCACAGTTACCCTACACCACTATGGTTTCCACTGGCATCTGAAACTCCAGAACGCATTACGGACCAAAGGCACCCTATACCTTTTGGAGGAATGTAAGCGAGAAGTTATTTGCCAGACAGAACTGCACAGCGAGACACTGAAGAGGCTCACGTTCAGCTCTGGATTTTTCAAAGGTATTTTTATGGATTGGCAGGAGGTGATGGAGGAATTTGGCCACACTCCCAGGGCCTGGCATCTGATATGCCAAATGCTGCCCTCTTTTTCAAGGCCCTGAACGTTCTTCCCGCTGCCTACCTGAACGACAGAGGCTGTCTCTCCTGCTCCTACCACCTCCTGCCATCACTCAGCCTGTCCTTTTCGGATTCTACAGATCCGTCTCTGACCACCTCTGGCACCGGCTTCCTCGGCAGTGTGCAGCGGGGGGAGAGGAACAGATTTCAGACACCCACTTTGGTTCTGAAGCGAAAGCAGTTCTCTCCCCGGGCTCACTGCTCTGCTGAAGACAGAACAAACTGTTTTAAACACAGAGTGAGGGAGGCAGGGGGTGTGGTAGATCAGAGTTCCTGATCTAATGTTCTAGAATGTTCCAGAGCTTGCTGAGTGCTCACGGGAAGACCTGAC